TAGTGTTTTTTTGATTGGTAGATTGAAAAACGTGGGGCAGTACAAAATCCTTCGTTTTTGTTCGGATAAATATCCGGAAAGTATCTGGAGCAATTGCAAGGTGTGGAATAAACTTGTCCAGAAACTCGGTGACACGTCACCTGAAGTCGTTTGCTGCCGTCGCCACCACCTGACTTCACCGCGTCGCCCTGCCATCGCCGCCGCTACTTGAGCATCCCGAAGCACCATGAACATCTTTCGATTGATCGGTGACATGACGCACTTGCTCAGCTTCCTCGTCATGATCCTGCGCCTGCAAGCCAGCCGATCGGCGACGGGGATCTCGCTCAAAAGTCAAGAGCTCTTCTTCTTGGTCTTTGCCACGCGATACTTGGATCTGTTCACGCACTACGTGTCGTTGTACAACACCACGATGAAGCTGCTCTACCTCGGTCTCTCGGGGGCGATTGTGTACTACATTCGGTTCAAGGAACCGTTCAAGTCATCGTACGACAAATCGATCGACTCGTTCCTGCACTGGAAGTTCGCCGTTCTGCCGTGCGCGATCCTCGCGCTGATCTTCCACGAGCGCCTTGAAGTCATGGAAATCCTCTGGACATTCTCGCTGTACTTGGAAGCCGTGGCCATCATTCCCCAGCTCATTTTGCTCCAGCGTCACGGCGAGGTCGAAAACTTGACGTCGAACTACGTCGTGTTGCTTGGGATCTACCGCGCATTCTACCTGATCAACTGGATCTACCGCGCCGCCACGGAAACGCATTACCACACGATCTGGCCCATGTTCATTGCCGGCCTCGTCCAAACCGGATTGTACGTCGACTTCTTTTACTACTACGCCGTCAGGTTCGTCGCCATCGCATACTTTCCCCCCATCTCCTTGACCTCATCTACCTTTTTGTCCAGCAAATACTCGGGCAAGAAGATGACACTGCCCAGCTAAACACGAGTCCAGACCACCATCGTGCTGCTATTACATCGATCTCAATACGTTGTTCGTTCGGCACTACCTTCATCTTGTCATCTCGTTTGGGGATACCACACCTCTTTGCATCGCATTTACACGTCCAAAATGTCAAAGTTGACATGGTCGCGGACGTGCTTGGTCGCTTGGTTGAGGCGCTTCGTGTCGTACCGGTTGAGCTTGGCCGTGAAGCCGGCAATCCGGGCAGTCAATTGAAAGCTGTCGCATGTGGTGGGTGGTACGTAAATGCACGGGATGTTGCCTTCGTTAAGCCTCGCAATGAGCTATGCACGAGAACATGGTCGTGCTCCCACCGCTGCAACACAGAATGGACGTACGCTAGGAGAAGGGTGGTCCCAACCAGTCATGATCAATCCTGGATGGAGGTTGTCACCGCGTTGGCGGTACTCGGCTTGGTTGGCCAGAATGGCATCAATGACATCTCCACGTCCGCTGTGCTACAACCACAACGTGAATGGAATTCGAAAATCGCAACCCGTCAACGAACTGTGATGACAAGTTGGCTTGGGACTGGTTTGAACACGTTTCGCGCGTCGACGGGGGCCAGCGCCAGGCGGACGTTGGCAAAATACCGCAACTTGGCGTCATGACCTGGTAGCGGCGGACTCAGTTCACAATGCGCATCATCGAAGGAGAGGCACCAGAAATGAGGTCGCTGCGGAAGAGTTTGCTGTAGTCAGACATGGAGGGATGGGATAAATCGTCGAGCTGCGGGATGCATCCGAGCAATGGAACGTCCCATCTCTTTAGTGCCCGGGAAAAGTAGTCCTTGCGAAAGTCAGCGGATAAATGAGAGGCTGGCATGCAACGGGGCAGAAAAAGAGCAAGAAGACGTACTTGAACCATGTCGTGCTTAGTTGGGTCTACCTTGTTCAGGATGACCCCCTAGCCATGACACCTTGACGACAGGACGGCTCTCGGCAGAGGTACCTTCAGCTTAACACCATGCTTGAGCAACATTTCACGGTTGAGAGCCAATTGATCAAAGGACGAGCCAAGACCGCCGAGTGCAATGCAAATGGCGTCCATGCCCAACTCGGCTAGCGTGGACGCCAAGGCGGGTTGAGGAACGGACAGGGATGTGGGAACTGCTACCTGCAACTTGAGCGTTGTTGATATCGCAAATGGAACCAACTCCAGTGTGTCCGGTCCCTTCGACGACCACAAACTCGCTTGAGTCCAAGAGGCGGCGGTGTGCAACGCGGACAGATTCTTTAAGTTCTGCTGCCGTGACCTTTCCATCGATAAAGTCGCGCGTGAACCCATCGGGGAAGATGACAGGCGACATGTCCTTGTAGTCGTGGATGAGTCCAAAGTGCTCTTTGAACAAAAACGAATCCTTGTCCACGCGAAGGCCACCGCCGACAGGTACGTGCTGTTGCCCCACGGGCTTGCAATACGCCACTTGCTTCTTCGAGGTTCCGTTGCTCTCCGCACCGAAGCGTTCTTGGAGGTGCGCCACGAGCCCTAGAGACGTTGTAGTCTTCCCAACGTGTTGGCCCGTCGACAGAACGAGCACATGCTTCAGGATCCGCTGCGACATGGCCATCTCACGACGATTTGCTTGTGGATTTTGTCTTCATGCAAGTCTACGGGGAGAAATTAGCCAATAATATTGCGTAAAGTGAAAGTTTTCAGCCAATAAAAATTTCCCCTCTTTTCTCGACGCATCCAACCAAAACCCACTGAATCAAAAGCAGCTTCAACTTGGCCAGACCGGGCGCCAAGAGGTACCTAAGCCGTCGAACTTTCTTGCTACCCACACACATGAGCCACCCTCGTTTGACTGTTATACGCTTGCTTCTTGCTACGTTGAAAGTACGGCATATCCAGTAGCACAGAGGGAGCTGGCGTCCAGTAATTAGAACGTAGCACAAGAGCTCGCAGGCGGAAAAGTCACACCAACGCTACAGTCACGTCATCGCAGGTGAAGCAGCATAATGTAAAAGCCTAAACGCGAAGACACATACGACGCTAGATAGCGCTACGCACTGGACTAGGCAAAAGTGTCTGTGATCAATGGTTGAAAGCAATACAAGGTCATTCTGTCGTTCCATCGCTCCTCGATGTTCGTGCTCGCCGTCGTCCGCGATTCTGTGCTTGATGAGGCAAGTATAGCATGCTACGAATAGGTTCCAAGCTGGACCTGAGCTGGCTGCCCTCGCTAGCCTTACCGTCGGTGGTTGGATTCGTCGCCCTGCTTTCAAAAGTGATGCATCATCGTTATCCGAATGCCCCGGATACGAACCCCACCACCAATCACAGCCATAGCACCGACATTCCATCGCAACATGAGCACCGACGCCCGCCCAGCAGAGAAGGTCGTGCTGCGAGAGTACACCGAGTATCGCTTCGAGGTCCACGGAGACGAGGACGTGACGATTCGTTTGCGCTCGGGAACGGCCGAGCTCTTCGGGGTCGAGCTGGCAAAGGACAAGGAGTACCACTTTCGCAAGTGCCAACTTGCAATCTTCACATATCACGGGTGCGAACTGAGCCTGCAAGGGGAGCGCGCGTGTGCATACACGTCGTCCGACGAAACGCCGATGCCTCCCATCATCAACATCCACACGCAGTTGGATCAAATTCGTCGTCATGCGTTGGAAACCCGTGGCGCGGGTCCTCGTGTTCTCGTGACTGGTCCTTCTGACACGGGCAAGTCGACAGTGTCACGAATTTTGCTCAATTATGCCCTACGAATGTCCATGAAGCCAACGTTCGTCGACCTGGATGTTGCCCACGGATCGCTAAGCGTTCCAGGAACCATCGCTGCAACGCCACTTGAAATGAACTGCCTCAGTGTCGAAGACGAGTTCATTCTGACTGCTCCCTTGGCGTACTACTACGGTCATGCTGAAGTGAAGGAAAACCCTGAGTTGTACAAGCACCAAGTGCTCGAGCTCGCGAACCGTGTCGACCAACGTCTCGCCAACGACGCTGATGGTAGCTTTCTCTCGAAGGACGATGATTCATCCCCATCACTTGTAGTAAATGCTTCTGGTGTGATCATCAACACGTCATCGTGGATCGATGGATCGGGATACCAAATTCTTTTGCATTGCATCCAAGCATTCCGTGTCGACTTGGTCATCGTGCTCGGCCAAGACAAGCTCCACAGCGAACTCCAACGCGACCTCGCGTCCACTCCATCGACATCAGTCATCAAACTACCCCGTTCGGACGGCGTCGTGCAGCGGTAAGTGCATCCTGCCCACTTGCCTCTTCCAGTTGTGTTGTCGATATTTCCCCAGCATTTGTCCGAATCGAGCCGGCGCTCATGTATCTTGGCAGGTCGAGCCAACAGCGACACCAACTGCGCATGGATCGGTTCCACGAGTACTTTTATGGTAAACATCTCCACACAACTCTCCCGATGCAGTCGCCGTACGAGTTCGCACCGCATTCAGTCGACTATGACCTGGAAGACCTCCACTTCTACCGCATCCAAGGTCTTGGCTTCCAGCCCTCCATCGACTCGAGCTCAAACTTCGCCATGTCTAGACCTCAGTGTATCGCAAGTGATGCTGCCCGTGGGCCAAACACACGCCATGGTCCGACTGCGCGTCATGCCTGCCGATGTGACAGCGGACCTGAACTACTGTATGGCGGCAGTGAGCCACCCGCCCAGCGTCAAAGGCGACAGGGATGAAGAGGATGAGCAGCTCCTCCTCAACTCCAGTGCCGCTGGGTTCGTCCTCATGTACGTCACATCTTCCGCTCCATCGAAAGGGTTCTCATTCGGCGAGGCCCGCCTCTTGTAGAAAAGCCGTCAATGTCGCGCAAGGCAAGGTAACGCTCCTCGTGCCGTGTCCTGGTCCGCTACCGTCCAAGAACTTGATTGTCGGGTCGCTCAAGTTTATGGAATAGCACGTTGCTTGTTGCTTCAGAGTCGTCGTATGTGTAAAGCACGCCCTTAACCTTGGAGATAGCGACGAATAGGCGACCTTATTGCGCTGCACGTATTACGGTCAGCAATACAGCGTTGTAGCTACGGTGTTGAAGAGACAACGGTGTTTGATTGCGGGGAGGATGTTGGAGTGAACGGGACCCAATCTACGTTGCAAGCCCATGGTCTGCATTCGTCATGCACACATGGCCTGCCTAGGTGGTGGTTTCCCCGCTCTTCTTTTCGTCGACCAGGTCAATGCAGTTTTCAATGAAAAAGTCCTTGTCAAACCCTGACGTCGTGTTGTCTTCGTCAAAGCTGCCCTTGTACACGAGGAGCAACTGGTCGTCGTTCTTCCGCGCGAGGGATTTGAGCGTCTTGTACACGTCCTCCGACGGGAACGCACCTTCCTTGTTCAAGTGACTGAGCACGCGAAGAAGGTCCGCGCCGTCCGTGGGGGTCGACTCGGACGTAGCGATCGAAGGAGTAGAGGGCTTGTGAACTGAGCAGTCAACAACGACGATATTAGATGGAAAGTGACGGCAGCAATACGAACCTTCGATTTCGTCGGGGTGTTCAGCAAGGGCCTCGAGAAATGGAGGAATATCGCTTTCGGTGGGCACGATCACGGCCAACACTTCATTCGGTCGTACACGTTCCGACTGGGCAGGGACAACTACACCACCAAGCATGAGACTCATACAGGCAGCCACATGCATGGAAACTCTCTAGAGCGTACATATTTTTGCGATATACCCCTCATCTTCGCTCTCGATACTGAAGAGAAGTTCAGGTGTGTCGACTTCGCAGATTGGTTTTCCAGGGCCGATCTTGTCGCCTTCTTTGGCAAACCATCGGAGCAACTTGGAACCCTCAATCGTTTGAGTGATGTCCATGTCCAGCATGCGGATCTTGATGTGCTCGGGGAGTTTGCTCGAGTTGGCGTGACACCATCGCCGAGGTCCATAGACAGCCGCCGCCGCGCGCAGCAACGAACCCCGTCGAAGAAACAGCATGCTGATTTCTGGACTGTCGCCGCCATTGGTTGAAATGTCAACCTGTTTTAATTTATACTCGACCGATTGATACAGGCCCTTTTAAATTGATTATTTGCAGTACTATTATGTGCTGGAAAATTGCACCATTCCACGTTCGAACAGAAGCGTCATCAATACATGCTGGCTTCCTTGTCGGCGTCGAAGGCGACGCTCCAGGACGCGGGCGGCTTGACGTAATTCGACGGCGGGTGCACGTAAATGTTGCCCAGCGCAGCCTGCTGCCTCAATAAATAGTCCAACTTCCGTGTGCCTTCCATCATTTGTCGGCATTCCATGCGAGCCTTGGCCAGCTGGAGTTTTTCATGGTTCAAGGCAGCGTTCGCACGCTCGAGAGCCGACTTTTCACGTTCAACGAGCTGGAACTTGTGGTCATTGTCGGCAGTTTGCTGTGTAGCTTGCTTGGACAACGCGTTAAACTTGTCCTGAAGCTCCGCATGGGCGACCTGCAGCGTCTCCAGCGCTTGCGCCATCTCCTAGTCGCACACTCGTGGAAACCAAGACCCAAGCACGAGAGATCTGTCGCACCGATTGGGCTCGAGACTTTTCCAGGGTCGACGCACTTAGCGCCATCACTTCCCGCTTCCGCGAGTTGATAATATCTTCGTCCCGTCCAAGTTGCAAGAGCCTGTCGTGGCATTGCTTGGCTTGAGCTTCCACATTGACCTCGTCCTGCACCTATGTCGTCCAAAGCAGCGTTGGCATTGCAGCACACTGTCTGCCAACACACGCACCAATTTCAAACGTCTTTCCTCAAGTTGCGTACGCAGCGCGTCCAACTTGCCCCGTTCTTCGTCCATCCTGGCGTTCTGCGCCGCCAAACTCGTGAGCAGTTGCCGTCGTTGCTCGTCGATAACATCGCGTTCGCGCATGACCTGCATCGAACGATACTGATCAGACATGCGCTGTGGCACAGCAGGTACTTTGATGGCTTCGTCTCGAATTCGCACGTCCGCGCGCTCTTCGGCTTGTATTCGCAGGCTCTGCGCCAATGCCAATGCCTTGACACCCCACGTCACGTCAAGAGGGGACACCGCTTCTTTCCATCACTGACCTTGTCAAAGCGCTCGCGTTCTCGTGTCATTCTGTCGTCCAATTCGCGTTTGTCTTGGAGTAACTTTTCCTCGAGCTTCTCGTAGCGTTCACGGTGGGCGTCGACGATGAGCCGGTAGTTTTCGGGCAATTCGAGGCGCTCCTGGTCCCGCTCGGCCCTGGCCTTGTCCATCGCCTCCTGCAAACCGCACCATCGATTGACAAACTTCTCAACGCGATGTACCTACTTGCATGCACTGGAGTTTGACCAAACACCGCTGCTCCACGACAGCAATCGCGACCTTGTTGTCTACGAGCGCCTGTTCGAACTTCAGTTGGATTTGTTGCCGCGCGTCGACCGCCGCTTCGAGTTTGCCGGTCAACGAATGGATATCCTGAAGCGCCTCTTGATACTTGTCCGACAGCACACGGTGTCGGCCGTCGACCTCACGTTTTTCGGCCACGCACGTATCGTACGTGTCCTGCAAAGTTGCTAATGCTAGCGACTTGAAACACGATTGCAGGAGTGAGCATGATCTCGGGGAAATACGGGGCTCACCTGGGTCGCCATGGCTCCCTCAAGGGCTACGTACTTGGCTTCCACGTCCTGGAGTGTCTGTTTGGTCGTGGCGAGCACGAGTTCATGCTGGAGCCGTCGCTCGTCCGCGCGTCGTTTCTTTTGCTGGAACTTTTCGGAGCGCAGCCGCTTTTCATCGACGTGGCGCTGTTGAAGGAACTTGAGTTCGTTCTTGAGATCGTTGTTGGCTCGCAGGAGCTGGCCGTGCTGGTACTTTAGCTCGTCGTTTTCGTCCAAGAGCTGAGTCTCCCGATGGCGCAGGGATCGACTAGCTTCCCTCGTGGGAGGCCCCGTCTCTTCCTCAATTCTCGCGAGGCGTGGTGACGGAGGGAGCTGAGCTGGCTTCGCGGGCTTGGGCGGGGATTTCTCGATCGTTCGAGGGGGAGACGGGGGTCTCGTTGGGACCGAGAGGTTCACATGGTGTCGGGGGCTACTGGTGCGACCGCTCTCGTTCTCAAATGATGCGTCGCCGTATCCCCCGTTGTCGTCGTCGTTTTCAAACTCGTCGTCACCGTAGTCGGGTTCTTCATCATCGTCAACGGCTGGTGGCGGCGGTGGAGGTGAGATCTTCGCCGACGGAATCGGTGCAACTATAGTGTTGGTCGGAGTTGGTGCTGGCTTCTTGGCGGGTTTGACGGGAGACGGCACCAAGTCCTCTTCAAAGTCCACGCTGTACGCTTGGTCGTCTTCCACACCGGCGACATCTTCGTCGGATGCGATTTCTTCTGCTTCGGCGTCGCTATCCATAGGGTCGAAGCAAACTTGCGCCCAACCAGCAGCAATCGACGTTTCGTTGAAACGGCTGCCCGGCGGCGGACAACCACAAACATGGACGCGCCCTCCATGCAGTTGCGAATTGTCATCACGTGCGCACCGTCGTTCCTACCCATGGAGCAGTCCTTGGATTCGACAAGTTGAACCCGTCCAGGACCTTGTCGTGTTCTGGTTCTTACGGCACTGCTTCCATTGGCACCCCAATCAAGACCACCATGTATACACACGCGTGAAATGGCGCGTTGATGTCTAGTGCGATGTGTGCGCATGCAGCCGCGGGTCATGCCGTACGAGGCGGCGCGGAGCGTCCACGTCATGGATTGGTGGATTTGCCGTGCGTTTGGATTGGTCCGTCTGCCATGCCTGCTGCCAGTGGATTGGATATAAAGGCAGCACATCCGGCTTACGATTGGTGGATTTAACAGAATGTTTTCACTTGCATGAAGTATGCCATACAAAAGTAAAGTGGGAAAATCGGGCGTTTTGACTGGTCGTTGGTTTTACTGGTTGGTTGGTGGCTGGGTCGGCCGCGGGTGGCGTCGGTGGCCCATCTTGGGGTTATTTTTGCAAGGTAGCGCAGGTTGAAATATGCAGATTTTCGTCAAGACTTTGACTGGGAAGACCATCACGCTGGACGTGGAGCCTTCGGACTCGATCGACAACGTCAAACAAAAGATCCAAGACAAGGAAGGCATCCCGCCTGACCAGCAGCGCTTGATCTTTGCGGGCAAGCAGCTCGAAGATGGCCGCACGTTGAGCGACTACAACATCCAAAAGGAATCGACGTTGCACTTGGTTCTCCGCCTGCGTGGGGGTGGTAAGGTGCACGGTTCGCTGTCTCGTGCCGGTAAGGTGAAGAACCAAACCCCCAAGGTGGCCAAGAAGGAAGACACGAAGAAGCAAAAGCGTGGCCGTGCCAAGAAGCGCATCCAGTACAACCGTCGCTTTGTCAACGTGGTCGCTGGCGCCAAGAAGATGGGCCCCAACTCGAACGCCCCCAAGAACTAAGTTGATCATGGCACAGCTCTGTCGTCAGTGACCTTGTCGATCTTCGCATTTGCGTAGGGGAGAGTTCTCTCGATCCTTAGCACACCTTGTTTAATACAGCATGCCTCGAACATGCATGTTTCCCGCCGAGTGTCCACCGACAAGACGTTCGTTTTGCAGGAGAATCCGTCGCCCATTCCCGCCGAGACTGAATGTACATTCCACGTCGTTCAAAGAGAAGAGCGGCCCACGAGTGCATCGGACGATGGTATACTAATGTAGTTGCAGAACCAGCAGTTGCGGATCAAGTGTGTGCGACGTTTATCGGTTGCTTCCACACGACTGACGTGCGAGTGGCTCGCAGAATATCTCGCACAGGATACAACGACATCTTTATGTCAAATCGTCGATCCGGGTTGACATCCTAAGGCCAATGGATCATTGGAAGCCATGCCAGCATCGTTTCCCTTTTGTGCAATCACCTCAAGGCTGGCGTCGATGGTCCGGTCCAAGTGCAGTGGCATCGGAGGCCACCATGTGATACGATTATTGTCGAGCCGCGTCGCCTTCAGTGGACAGTTGTCGATCGTTGCTCGAGTTGCTCGGCGCCTTGAAATGATGGGTGAGGTTGTGAAAGCACGTTTGCCGGAGCAAGTCGACTTGTTTTTGGGCCTTGCTGCAATTCACCTACACGACAGACCGGGTTCATGGTGGAAGACATCTTGAACACGTACGGTTGGGATGATTTTCGTTGGTTTGAACGCCGTCACGAACGCGCAGAGCTCTTCAAAGCTCGAGTGTTCGCTGCGTCCACTCTCTTTAAATTGTTCCAAGGTACACGAGAACGACGGGCTGTGCAGTACCTGTATGGGATGCCGTAAATGATCAACCTGCCATCTCGCTGCGTGCGCATCGACGACAGCTTGTGTTTTTTGCCAGAGAAGGTCCACCCCGTCGGCTGGAACGCAATCACTTTTTCAAAACGAAGCCGATGCTTGCTGAGAAGCGCGCCCATCACGTCAAAGGTCAAACTCCCCATGGGCACCACATGCAAACTGCAACGCAACGCCATGAGACGATGGAACGAACGATCCGACTAGTCGACACTGACTTACTTGGTGGTGGACGATTCCAATGTCAGCATCTCCTACGATCGACTGTTGCCACCCCCCCTTGTCCTCCGAAATCCACGGTACCATGTCCGAGTCAGGCCAGTCAAAGCATGACAAGAGCAAGTGCTTGGACCTTTCGACGAACACTTTGCGCTGCAAGTGCCTTGCAATCTATTCGAGCCCAGCATGAACGAAACTGCACGTAGGCATCGTTGTCTTACTTCCATGAAGAGCCGCTCCTTTCCGATCGAGTACGACCCAAACAAAAACAACACTCGGCCCCCATCATGCAAATCCACCAGCCGCTTCACTTCGCCGATCGCGACGTCCTGCAAATCGTTCGTTTTTCGTACCTCGCGAAGACGATGCACGATCGACTACGGCTACACACACATACCTGGGTCGGATGGCAGTATTGTGGTTCACAGTACGTGGTGTCGAGGTAGACACCATCCAAAGCAGGCTCTTGATGAGCATATCGGACAAGGAATCGATTGCTCAGCATCGACGGATCAAATCGAAAGTCGCCTAGTACAAAGCACACACCGTGTCAGTCACGAATGTCCACGATTTGGGCAAACGCCCCTCGCTCGTGCGACGAGGGAGGGGTATGTACCTGTATGCAGATATGCCTTGCCGCCTCGTAGTTGAAACAAAATGAGAGCGGCGCCCGGGCAATGATTGGCTTCGATGAGCGTGACTTGACCTTGCTGGTCGGGCAGGACGTACGGTTGGTTGAGGGGCAATGGGTGGACATATTTTCTGAAAGAGCATTTGTCATGAATGTTTTCATGACAAGGCATGTAAATCGTACTTGTTGACACCGAGGCAGTGGAGCACGAGCTTGGCGGTCACGGCGGTGCAATAGATCATGCCTGCTGAAAACGCCTACACAACGGCGCAAGTCAGTCGTGTCCGACGAGTCTGTCCACCTTGGTCAGTCCAGTGTAATGATCCGAGTGGAAATGCGACAAAAAGTAAACTGTCGACAGCGACGGGTTGGCGTACTGGAACCCGTCCACGACAATCGTCGACCCTTGGATGAGTTTGTACTGCGGGCAAGGCATATTCCCTTTCGAGTTGTAGCGGGACCATGACGAGGATGACCCAGCCTTGCGCTTCTTCCCCGCCATGGCCGACGAAGGTGCTGCTGACCAAGCCGACGCCATCTTTGCGATCGACGACGTTACCACCATCGCGGACGATTGGGCGTTCTTCATGAGCATGTCGAAGGCATTTGTGGGGGCATTCTTGGGGACTTCAGCGAGCGGGGGAGCTGCCGCAGGTTCATCATCTATGCGCCAAACAGGCCATCAATTCATAAACACGAATATTTGTACAGGATGATTCAAGTTTCACCGATGCGTATGGACTGCACTGTAACACCAAACCGTCGACCACATTGCTTGATGTGATTCACGCGCTGCGGCGACGACTTGGTCACGAGATCGACGCCGCACACTATGCACGGCATCACGGGAGATGGTGAAGATGCAGAAGTTGAAGTCGAAGGGTCGAAAGTAGTGGCAGACAACGCCGATGAGCTCGACGGGGCCTTCGTTGTCAAAGCCATCTTCTTGTTTCGGGAAAATTGTTCGAGCTGGTCCAAGCACGCATTCACGTGTTGCAGCTGACCCCGCTCGTTGAGAAATGTAAGCAATTTACAACAGGAAGGACATCGCACTTCGGTTGGTTGAGGCGGGGAGGGAGCGCCTGGAATAGGAGAGGGATGGTTGCAAAGGCGTTGTGTCGTTGGAAGATCCTCGTCTGAATCCGTGAATGTAATGACATCGTCGCAGCTGCTTGCAGTCTGATGTTGAGCACAAGTGGAAGTGTTGTCTTGAGTGAAACAGCGTTGCAACGTCTCGAGTGAATGGAACGAGGTGCTTGCGGGATCACCAAAAGTAGATCTCTTCATGGTTTTCAGCGAGGGAGGTGGATGACCACAGTACGATGCAGGTGCTTCAATGGTCTCAATCCCTTTCAATCGTTGCGATGAAGGCATGGTGATAGCAGCTGCTGTTGCCATGGAACGTATGCCGAGGACATCTCGGGATAAGTCGTGTGCATGTCGATTGCTGGGGTTACCGCTTGATGGAGAGATATTTGCCGCGTCCTGCCTTATGGTGCTGCATTGAGCTGTTGGTGCCGTAGCTAGTGTGTTCTCTCCGTCAGCCCCAACGTCGCCGCAGAAGCGCAGGGACAGTAAATGGCGCCGACTCATCTTCTTGAACCAACTCGACCTTTTCGCGGGTATTGATGAACAATTTGTTTTGATAGGATAAATCTCAAATCTTTTCGCCAATCAGATTTGCGAATAAGTGATTTCGACGCATAACGTTAAACCAGTATAACGTCTGTCCAATCCAGCAAATATGGCCAGTATGAAAATCTCAATACAATATTCTAGTATATTTCTCGGCGTGATGATGACACGTTATATTAAATTACCTCTTTGAACCCAGCAAATTTGACCAATCAGCGCCGCTGCGCTGTGTCTGTATCCTTGATTCTCATGCAGCATGGTGGTACACGAATTCGGAGCGACAGCATGGAGGCCTCGCGAACGCCAACCCACACGCACGCTTACACCAAGACAGACTCGTATTCTGGGCAAATGATGTCTGCACTAAGGCATGCTCAGGACCCTCCGACATTTGTACAGCAAAGCACAGTCTCGGGCGAGGAAGCAGCCAAGCGGCTGGATACATATTCCACCACGACCTGCGGGGGACGATTTGGTCAGTGGTATGTGGGTACGAAAGGCACCTCTGGCAAGCGATATTGTGGTGCGCGCTTGTCCCGAGGCCCATTCATCTGCCTGCATGTGTTTGGTGTCGTCCTTCTCGTTGCGTTGATCGTGATCCCCATCGTCACTGCCGTGATTGTGCCCAAAATGATTCAAACCAAGTTCGACGAAGCCATTCGATTGAATCCGTTTGGCAAAGTTGCTCCAGACGGTGCAACAGTACCAACCCCGTCGACGTCTGCTTCGTCCATGCCCTCCAGCTTCGAGGTGTTACCAGACGGCAGCGTAGCAGACTTCCGATTCAACTTAACAATAGGCCCTCTGATGGGCATCGGAGGTACAGTTGACGCCAGTCAAATTCAATCACCATCTTCAGTGCCATGAATTCGTTTGTAGGTACCGTCGAGCTCGTGGGGCCAACTACGTTCTACATTGCCGACACCGAGGAGAAGGAATGGGCAGCCATCACGATTGTGCAGTCCGTGTCGTTTCCCGTGGCTTTGGCGACGAATTTGTCGATTTTGGGCAATTTCACAGTGTTCGACACTCCCACGCAATCGTGCATCGATGCGATCTTTCCGACCAAAACTATCTCGCTCGTGGTGCACACGCAATGGACGATTTCGTTCTGGGGATTCAATTGGTATCGAAACCTGCCGCTGCGATCGCGCTACGACATGCCGCTCTCGACGACGTTGCAGGAAAAATTTGACCAGATTGTGCAGCATCCGTTCTCGAACGCGACGTCTGTACCATCCCCCGCGACAACCCTCCAAAACGCCAGCCCAGCCGCCATGGCCGCCTCGACCACGTTTGAATACTTTTCAAGAGGCACACCGTCCAACTTTCGGATCAACACGACGATCGCAAACCTGACGATCCTTCCCGGGGTTGTCGAAGTTGTCGGCCCAACTGTGTTTGCCATCTCCGACGTCAAGGGCAAAGGGTTGGCTAACGTCACGTTTGACTCGGTGTCCTTCCCGATACACAAAACGACCCGACTGTCCTTGTACGGTAATTTTACGATCTACAGCCTCCCGACGCCGTCCGTCGTGACAGCGATCCTCACGACCAACCAGTTTGTCATGGTGGTCAGGACGTGGTGGAAGATCAAAGCGTTTGGGAAAGTGTGGTTCCCCCGGCTGCAGCTCCAGTCCCAGTTCGACTTGAATTCCGCGACTGGAACTCAAATCTGGAGCTCCGTGAAGTGTAGGATTTACACGTGTTAGTGCAATGGCGATTCGAGAATGGTCGACTCATGGTTTGCGTTCGCTGCCAAAGCATAAACAGGCACTTCTAGGGCGACGGGAAGGCAAGCGGTACTTGGAAACACAGTTCGCATCAACGAAGCAAACTCTTACGGGTGCAGTGGATCGCCTGCGTTATCCGATCGAGCTCTCGGCAGCAAAACCCGACGAGAGGTCACCCGCAGATATTTCGTGACATCGTCGAGTCAAGCCCACGGTGGGCGAAAAATTTTCAGGAATTTCACCATAAAGCGAAATGGGAGTTTAATTCATATCAAAAGAAGGATAGAATAAAAAATTTTGAAAGTAGATTAAATTTTCTATATTGAGGGACTGGTGTTGGAGGGAGCTCTGAAGCACCGAGGAACACGCCCGTGATCTGATGTGAAACGCGTCAAAATAAACTTACTTTCGGCACTTGAAATACTAGTACTTTTTCGATACAAATACCAACTTCATTCAAATATAGCTATATATTTTGAACATTTTCATGGAGACCTTGAGGATGCCTCCTCCGCAATTCACCTCCCATTATGTAACGACATGCCAAGACGAGGCCACTTTTGAAATTGTCGCGATGGCATCTACCGGCCAGGGCAACCTCACCGACATCACCTCTGCCACAAACTCTGAGGACTTGACCGAAGGGAGCTTTGCGTCAAACAGTGGCTGGTGGAGCAACGACTCGGACGACGGCCACAGAGAACGCCAGAGCGACGTGTCAGTTGGCACGACCAAGCTGGCCTCCGAGAACACTGCGTCGTACCTAGACAAGCTGCATCGCATGTTGGAATCGTCCCCTTCGACTGTCGTTGCGTGGACTCGGCATGGCTCGGCGTTTGCCGTGTACAACAGAGATGAGCTCGAAACGACGATCCTGCCCCAGTACTTTTCATCAGGCACGTTTGAGAGCTTTATCCGACTTTTGAGCGCCCACGGATTCCGCAAAGCAAAGCACACGATCAACGGAACGCCCACGTGGGAGTTTCGCCATCCCAACTTTACCAATGGCCGTCAACTCTACACGATCGTGCGTCGCCGTCGTCGGCGACGGCGGGATGGCGCCCCCGAGCCACCACCGCGAACTGGTCGCGGTCCCATGTACGGTCATCTGAAATCTACATTGATCGATATGATGGCTGTGGTGCGTAATCTCAAGACTGAGCTCGTTGACACGAAAGCGCTCGTCATGGCATACGCTCGAATGCATCAGGGAAATGTGGAGTAATTTGAGCGAATGTGAAGTTCAAGGTTATTTAACACAAGAGGGTCCGTCACTTTATGAATTTCCAGATGGTCTCCGACAAGGATGTGTCGGGAGCTCAGAGGAAACCGCAGGGATGCAGCTGCAGTCTTTCGACGTTGCTGGCAGGAAGGAGTGACGCCAGGTGGTTCGCTGGGGTCGCCTTTGTACATCCTTCGGCTTCCGGAACGAGCGCCTCGCCTTGTACTCGGGTCCAACCACTCGACACCTCTTAAAGGTCGAAGGGCCGACTATACATAGGCACGGCAGCGACAGAACATGGCTCTGCTTTTGTCCAAATCCCACCAGCAAAAAAGTTCTTCCCTCGCTATCGTCATTGCCGATTCCTCTTCGGATGCATTTTGATCGGGAGGATATTAGGAGTTTATCTTTGTTCATCAAAATCGCGGATTGAGCCAAATAATTCACTGACTTGATGTTTGTATCGACATGTTGACCAAACCCATAAAATCCTCGAATATTTATGATACACAGGTCGCCGTACGTCGGAACGTCAAGAATGGCCCATCAAGGTCATTACACGAAAATATTCTTTCGGTTTGCCGCCCATCAACGATATGAACGACAATGAATTGGACGAAAGCAAACCTTGCGAGATGGCGGTTGCCGCCCCCAGCGTCCCCTTGGACCACCTCGACTTTGATTCGCCCCAAGTAGAAGGAACGTATCTGGAACGGCTCTACGCCATGTTGGACCAGTGTTCGCCAACAATTGCATCGTGGACACCGAACGGTACAGCGTTCGTCGTGTACGACGTCGAAGCGCTCGAGGCGACCGTGTTACCGCAGTTCTTCAAACCTATCAAGTTCGCGTCGTTTGCACGCCACCTTGGCTCGTACGGATTTCGCAAAGTCAAATGCGTTATGGACAATTCCGTGCTGTACGGGTTTCGCCATGCCACCCTGGTGCGAGGCCAAATCCACGAGGCGCGTGCCGTGCAACGGCGCCAACGACCACGTCGGCCAGACCCCACACCACCACAAACCGACGAAGAGATCTTGCAAGATGTAATTGGTCAAGTCAACCAACTGCGGGCAGACATGGCCGCTACAAAGTCCATGTTGAAGACTCTCCTCGAACTGAATGATCTAGAATAGGTACCTAGGGCCAACCGTCAAATTATTAGAAAGCATGGGATCTCTTGAAGCCTTGTGAATGCGAGGTATGTGCATGGAATTCACGAGGTCCTTGAATCGCTATAACTCTCCTGTAGGAACACCTCAACCTGCAAGTTACCTGTAATTCACATGCAACACCGACGACTAATATTTCGAGTTCAAGCATTGCTCCTTCTTGCGGCAGCGATGGACAAACACACTACAATTGAAAAATATGCCCAAGGAGAGCCCTGGTCTACATTTTCTCGGTACATATACAACTACAGCTATTTTACAGACTTGTAGGCCCCTCCCATATATTCTCTTTGTCTCAAATCGTTTGCGCACACCTTAATCGTTTACGCGCTCGACGACGTGCCTTGGACACTTGGCGTTGCTACCTTCGAACTTGTGATCTCGCCCCAGTTGTTGGTGATGCCATCCTCAGCATCAATTTGTCGTGATGCAGGCAATTTCCAAACCCGACACGAGTACCATACCTCTCAGTCGTCGTACGCGGGAGGGGCCGCAGTCAAAAATTCCATGATGGATCGATACCTTTCACCCCCAATTCCCTGTACAAGGATGTTCCGACGAGAGCTCCGTTTTGAACAGTCGACATTCCGGCCATGGAGTTAAATCTTCGATAAAAACTACATGTTGTGTGCATTGAAATATATACGTTTGACAATGCTGTCTTTACAATGACTTGAAAACACAATAAAAAGACGGCCAACAACCAGCCACGGCACTGGAAACATGGATGGATTCAGCCTCGCTCAGCCACTAGTCAGTCCACTGCTATCTCCAGGCGAGCCCTTGCCCCATTTTCCAATTGCCGTCGCCTTCATCAACATGCCTCGCATTGCGAACGTGGACGTGGATCTTTCGGATTTTCTCATGGAGGGCAACTTTGACGCATCATTCAGCGAAGTTGGGAGCGACATGATCGGCTATGACGCATCGACGGAATCCCACTTGCATCAGTATGCATTTCCCGCTCCCCCCGTCACGGTCCAAGAGGGATTTCACGAAATGCACTGCTTGAATATTGCAGAGCGCACGACCAAATACTTGGAGAAGCTGTACGAGATGCTGGAGCAATGCCCCGAGTCAATTGTGACATGGACGCAAGACGGCACTGCGTTTGCCGTCCTCAACGCTGACGCGTTCGAGCGCACAATTATCCCCCGGTTCTTCAAACCCATCAAATTCGAAAGCTTTGTCCGGCAACTCAACTCGTATGGGTTCCGCAAAGCCAAGCACAAAGTCTCGAACAAGGCTGTGTTCGCTTTTCGACACACAAACTTCGTCCGAGGAGAGGCACATAAACTCCAAACCATCCAGAGACGTCGTCGCAGCAAGCGTGCCTCCCCACTGCCAGCGCACGCCCTCACTGTCGACCCAACGTCCGAGGAAGGGCTATCTGCTCGTGTGCAAATCTCGCTGGAAACGATTCTGGCCTTTGTCCGAACTCTTCAAAAAGAACTGGCCGACACAAATGCGCTCGTGCAAGCCCTCGTGAATTGCGAACCCGCGCCGCCCCTGGAAGCAAACTCGACCAACGGAGCCCAATAATGCTGAAGAATGACTTTTACCACGTTGTTTTTTTCTGATTACATTCGTGGGCGAATCTCGGTCCCTTTGAATTCGTGCCAAATGCCAACCGGGTTTCTCTACGTCGCCAGGTCGTCAAGCGGAGGCGGGTTATATCGACATGGACACTGTCCAACACCATGTACGCTGCTGTTGTTGTATCTTGGCCGACTTGCACCTTGTTGCGAGGACGGGCGGACGTTCGGCAGACCACGGTGAGATGTCGACAGGATTCCAACTGGGTTCAAATCTGCCCAAGATTCATCTGTTCATGTCGACGGCCGCCCACTTTCTGCTGAAGGCGTATATCGTTGACCAGTGTGTGGGTTGACAGGCGGCGAGCGACTCCACCAGCCGCACAGATCCAACGACGCATCCTCATCGCCGTACAAAGGACGATTGGAGGGTGGTGCATGTGTCGGGATGTCCGCGTCAATAGCGGGTGGCTGACGAGCGGCCAAAATTCAAATCGTACCACATATTCCGGCCTCGAGGTGTTAGTTCCGCCGTTGTGATTCGTCGCGCGGCCGTTGCAACTACGTTCCGTCCCTGGCGTGCGATGTTCCGCTGTGCTTGTTAATTTATTTCGTATTTTAACACTCGACAAATCTATCAAACAATAAAATTCCATATTAAACGTTGCCGTTGCCTGTCCGGCCACCTGTTTTTTTGTAACTTCCCACGTCGCCAGTTCCCCCACACTCTCGGCTTGTTTTTACTTTCGCATTTGCCAGCAATCGCCCCGATGCCGTTCGACGACGCCGCCCTCGACACCACGGACGCCGACATTACGGAGCTCCTCAACGAAGGCATCTTCGAGTACACGTCGAGCGGCGCCGGTAGCGAAGACTCGATGGACAACGACTACCCGTCGTTCGTGGATGTCGAGCCCATCGCGACTACGTGCAGCAGTGCCGACGAGCAACACCTGTCTGCAGCAACCCTGCATGACCTCAGCTTTGCCGAGCGCACGACCAAGTACCTGGAAAAGTTGTACGTGATGTTGGAGCAATGTCCGGAAACGATTGCCGCGTGGACGAAAAACGGCACGTCGTTTGCCGTGTTCAACTGCGACTCGTTGGAAAAGACCATTCTGCCCCAGTTCTTCAAGCCGATCAAGTTTGAAAGCTTTGCGCGACAACTCAACTCGTACGGGTTTCGCAAATCCAAGTACAACCTCCAGCACAAGGTCGTGTTTGAGTTCAGCCATCCAGACTTTGTCCGTGGCCAGTCCGACCAGTTGCAGTCGATCAAGCGCCGCCGACGTGTCAAGCGAGGCAATGCTGCCGTCGCGGCGGCGTCATCGGTGACACTGGTTCTGGACGAAAGCCAAAGTGGCGACGTTCAGACTACCCTGCGTGAACTCATGTCGTTTGTCCAATCTCTTCAAGCGGAACTGGCAGCTACCAAGGCTCTCGTGCAGACCCTCCTGGAGAAGAAGACGGTGGCCATATAGCGCTGCAGATGAGCCACCTACATAGTCTCGCTAGTTTCTTTTTAACTTATTTTACAACCGTCTCTTACGGCATCTTCTCTCCAATCGTGCATCAAGGACGACGAGGTCCGGCGGGAGCGCAGGCATCGCCGTTGCAGATCCAAACCTTTGGGTATTTCAAGCGCGGGACGGGTCTAGTATTTCCAATTCGTCAGCTCAAGTAGCAGTGTATGAGCTATCAATATGGCTAAGATAATAGTATTTCAGGAAGAAAATCTCTGATGGAAAGGGACATAACGAAGACATGTGGGTACACCCCACGGCCTTCAGCGGGAGGGCGATGTGGATGTTGGGCTGGAAAGTGTGTGGAGGATGAGGTTCATGATCGTTTGTGTGAGGCATTCGATTCCTTGTCCTTGGCGTCGGAACGAAGGGATGGTGCGGTCGTTGTGATGATCTCGATGGCTACAGCACTTCCCGCTCAGCAACCCAGAGAACGAGAACAGTCGCTTTGCATCACGAACCAGCAGGAGGAGTTGCAATTGATTTCACATGTTTGGCTCGGTGTCACTCGCAACCCATGCATCTCCGAGGAATCGTTTTGTTCTACACTATTTTTGTGTCGACTACTGCGAGTAAATGGAGTGATGAGGACGGACGCCATGCCTGGGTCCCCCCTGAATCTTCCCTCGGCGTGCAAAACGACCCTCAAATGCACCTCAACATCTCTCGTCACGCCGTCATGGTCAGAGCATTTTGCAAGTGGGCATTCTCGCATCTTCAGCGCCAGGAAGTTCCGCTGTCGGCATGACTCTTCCACATCAAGGACGCAAGAGGGAGTGCATGCGTAAGAGCGACGGTCAAATTCGATCGACCGAAGTGGTGGTCAAAACTGTGGAAATTGAATTTCCCGATGGATCAAGAGAACTACCAACGAAGGGCGTGGCGATGGAAAACCCTTGGAAAACGAATAACACCACAATAGCTCCAGCGAAGGCTCCTCGAGCTGGACGCTGGACGTCCGCGCCGTCACTATTGCAACAATATCCATGGATAAACATCCAGCCACAGCGCTTGGGGGCTCCTAACGTACGATCAACAAAGTGTCGCAACGTGGGTTTCAAAATCTGTCCTCGGCGGCATTTTCACTTTCTCAACGACACCAAGGATGACCGCGACGTCGCCACGCCACAGCCTCGACACGGTCGAGAGCCCTGACGTTGACCTTCACGAACTCCTCTTGGCATGCGAAGTGAATGTGCTCGATGTTCAAGAACAAGACGTGCAATTGCCGAACGGCGACCTCAATTCGGATGATTTCAACGTCACGGTGCCAGGCGTGGATTTTTCTGCCTTGCTCTCCGTTGGAGCAGAGGAATACGACAATGGGGACGATTGGATCGCCATGAATTGTGATGGCAGTGTCATTGACACGTACTCGTCCGACGACTCGATGGAGATTCTCGCCGCCAACGATCTCGGACCAACTCCCGACGTAGCTCCGTCAGAAGCCTCCGAAAAGGGAATGGTGTACCTCGCTAAAATCCACAGTATGTTGGAGCAATGCCCGTCCAGTGTTGCTGCGTGGACGAATGGCGGGTCGTCGTTTGCCATTTACAACTGGACCGCATTGGAGAAGACAATTCTCCCAACGTATTTCAAGCCCATCAAGTTTGAGAGCTTCGCCCGTCAACTCAACTCGTACGGGTTCAAAAAGACCAAACTCGTCGAGAACCACACGATAGTGTTCGAGTTTGCCCACCCTCTCTTCGTGCGTGGTCAGGTGGACCAACTCAAAACCATCAAGCGACGCCGCCGGCGCATGCAGCGATGGAGTGCCGTCGACGTGGAGGACATGACGGACGCCGAGTTACGTTCGACGTTCAGTGACGTGGTCCGTATGGTGCAAACGATGCATGCAGAAGTGGCCGAAATGAAGTCGTTGGTCCAATCCCTCGTGGAAACATCCCCCTGCGACGCCCCCACACCTTAGCCCCAACGCAATTGCCTGCATCGACCCTTTCAGAGCACGACTTAACTTATGAACATGACAAATAGATATTGCAAGCACGCACCACACCCAAGCCAAACTCCAAAGGGAGCTGGCGAGTGGTCGCCCCAAACTTTCCACTCGACCAAGCTGGAACATGCTCTTGGCACTGGACACGATGGACACGACGCCGCAAAATATCTCGGTTCGTCTCGTATGGCTCTGTGAGCTATATTGCACAAGTCGAATCTCTAAATATTTATGCACAAGAAATACATAAAGCAAGTAATAGAATTAAATGACTTCGCTGTAAATAGTTGATGCTATCTCGCAGCATATTTCGACGATCCCATGTTATTCCAGCAAGCCCATCACGCCGTGTCCACACGCCACCGCGAGTGACAGACCGATCATGTGAAGAGCGAAGCACTGCACGCGATGCAGTCCCGAATTTTCAATGGCTTGCAACAGCATCAGTAGCGATGTGCATGCCGTCCTAGTAGACCAGCGAGCCAGGATGGAAGCACTACCGACGCGTCCAGAACTTGGACTTCCACCGACTCGAAGAGCTCCCGGTTGTCCCCTGCTGCGCGTTGACACAGACTCGTCGACGACGTTTCTGCAGCGTCTGTACAACATGCTTGAGCATTGTCCCGCCCACATCGCGTCCTGGTCCACAGCAGGCTCGTCGTTTACGATCTATGATCCCCGTGCATTGGAAACGAACATGCTGCCACAGTTCCTTCACATCACGAAAACAGCGCGGTTTGTACGGCAGCTCGCGTTGTATCAATTCAAAAGGACTCGTTTCGTCGACTCGAATGGAAAAGTCAGCGTGCGCTATCACCACAGCCACTTCGTTCGCGACGACCCCACCATTCCCGCTACGACCAAACACCCTCGTCGCCGGTCATGGCGACCTAAAACAAACGACTCCACACGACGAAAACAACTCAAAGCAACACTGTCCGAGCTCGTGGCAAGCGTTCGAGTACTTCAGGCAGAGATCGCCGCAACCAAGGCGGCACTCCTTGTGGAGCATGCTGCCTTGGACCAAATCAAGACGAAATGTAATACTGTCCCTTGAAGTTCAAGGTGGGCTAGTCGACTTGTCGCGGGTGGCGCTTGTGAGTATGGATACCTTGCGGGACAATTCTCTCCGCAACAGCATCATATTCATCGAATGGACAGAGCTAGCTATGGCGATTACACGATCGTTCGCACGGCCACATCCCTTTGCCACACTCAGTGAACAACCGTAGCGCATGAGCCTACTCGTGAGCACGACCCATCCTTCCATCGTCGCTATCAAAAATCGGTGTCGCGGAGTCGCCTTCCCTTGTGGGATCTCTAAGATCGGTCGTCCTGTGCATCACCTACTTGCTATTGAAGGCCATGGCGATGGACAGGTTGGTCTTCGTTAGTGGCAACCTACCTTCGCATCAAGCTTTCGCACCCCTGTCGCTCATTTACAATGCAGCACTTTCCTCGTTTGTCGGCGCCCACAAATGTCAGTGGCATCCTCAGCCACTTCCACCCAGAGCTCCTCCCCAGGTCCGTGGACAGCTCGGCGTTGGACAGAGACGCCCCTATCGGTCTCGACGACCCTCCCGACATTTTTCCACCTCTACTGGATTGGTGCAAACTCGAACTGTCAATTCGGCTGAAGAACATACATTCTGAATATCCAGAATGCTGGTGATGCCGGAGAGGTCACACAGGTGGCGGCGCGTTCACCCGCCATGGCACAATTCAATATCCACACACATGACGCCCTCGTTTGAAGAAGTGCTGGGAGATATTTCGGACTTCCTTCGGGATGGCTTGTTTGAGTATGCGTCCAGCGACGAGTCATCGTCGATGCACCGCGCATTTGCCGCGTCGCCATCCACCCTACCTGCCCGCTGCGCCTCGAGCGTCGACGGCCCCGACGATGATGAAAAGTGCGTGTCGTACCTTGGAAAACTGTACACGATGCTCAGCGTGTGCCCACCGACAGTTGCATCGTGGACGCGCAGTGGCGCGGCGTTTGCCATCTACGACCCTGAATCGTTGGAAAAGGTCGTGATTCCACAACACTTTCAACCGATCAAGTTTGAAAGCTTCGTCCGACAGCTCAACTCGTACCGGTTCAAAAAGTCCAAAATCGTGAACCCAGACAACACGACCTTTCTGGAGTTTCAACACAGCAGCTTTGTTCTCGGCCGACCCGACCTTCTCGAGTCCATCAAACGCCGTCGTCGCATCCGACGAAAGGGCCCAAAGAGCATCCAAGACATGAACGATGCCGACCTCCGCGCGGCCATGACAGACCTCGTCCAGCTTGTGCAAACCTTACATACTGAGCTTCATGAAACGAAGGCCCTCGCGGCGTCGCTCGCGGCGAAGCGAGCCACTTGACACGTCGCGACTGTTCACGCTTCAATTAACTTAATTGGTAGAACTTGTCTGATCCTCATCATGACGTGGCAAAGCCCTGGCGCGCCAATTCTGGTGCCACTACAACGATCAAACTTGAAGAGTGCCCCATATCGTTCGTAGCAGAGGTCTTCCACCGAAGAGTGCACGAAGCACAGGCGCAACAATCCAACCAATGTCCTTATATAACAATTCGTACGGCGCTCTGGATACGAGGTTTTGCAGGGGGGAGTGGAGCATGTCATGACCGAGAAACGCCGTGGAGGCCGGAACCACGACGTGGGGAGAACAAACCGATGCTCGATCAACTGACTGGGAGCAAAGGTCACCCTCCCCCCCAGCGTATCGTTGGATGCGTATGGATTTTTCGCCCGTGCGCTTTGGTTGTGTTCATCTGTATCAACATGTCCGCATGTATCGTTGATGAGTCCAACCCCCCGGGTTGGCCGAAAAGGGCGACTGCACTTCCGTGCGGAATGCCATTTCCGGGGCGACGCTGCTGTGCAAGTGATAGCTATCACACTATTCATAGCTATGCACTCGACCCGCTGTTGAGGTCGTGGTCGCAATGGATCTCTTGTTCACTCGTCGTGGCACCCATGGGGTCATGGGAACGTAAACAATTCGGCATATGAAATCCCCCAAGCAACAACTTGCATTCAAAACATTGGTTCATGTATTCGGGAAGTACGAACGATTTACACATGAACGGGCCAACGAGTGTATGCGGCTACAGGGAGGCACACGCAACGCACCCAGTGCTTGTAGATGTACGAGCGGAGCAGTCGGCGGCGTGGGCCACTCACATTCTCCAACACCTCGCGTTGTCGTGCAGTACGGTGTTCTGGGGCAGATGTGGGATTCAGCAGAGTCCCGCAGCAGGGCCACTCCCAACACAATTATCAAGCTTGCAGTACGGGCAGATGGTTCAAGCCGTGGTTGCCTTCTCATCATTTGACTTCCGCACAGCCATGCGGTGGTGCATGTTACTGTGCTTTGTCACGTGACCCTTCAACTTGTTGAACCTGCGTGGGGTCCCGTCGCCCACTCTTTGCCTGGACAGCGCGTTGGACAGTGAAAAGGCCGCTGGCTGAGTGGCACGATGTTGGATATTGGATGGTCGGCTTCATGCTCACGTGACAAGCATTCTGGATCATTTTATGTCGGCCTCGTTGGATCCACATACAAATGCGTAGAGACTCGGGAATATTATAGTGAAAACAGACCGGAATGCTGGTTTGTACTCCACAACCCGTCGCACTGTTGTGTTTTTGGGTTGTTGGATTTGATAGAGGTGGTCGATGGACGGGCCACGAGACATAAGGTCATTATCAAATCCTGTGCCTCGCAGCATGAGCCGCATCGACGTGTGCATGAATGACTTTTTCCTCGATGATCTCCTTGACCATGCCTCTGCCCTCAGCGACGATTCGCTCGACTGCGACGGCGCCATTGCCACCGACTCGTCTGGCTTGGAAGATATGTCGAAGGAAGGGGTTTCGGTCCGTGCTACCAATGCGATGAAAGTCGAGCCACCAGACTCAACGGACAAAACGACCAAGTACTTGGAGAAGCTCTACTGGATGCTTGAGCAATGCCCCGACCACATTGCCGCATGGACGCAAGACGGCACGTCATTTGCCATTTACAACTCGGATGCGCTCGAGAAAAACATCATCCCTCGCTTCTTCAAGCCCATCAAGTTTGAGAGCTTCTCGCGCCAACTCAACTCGTACGGCTTCCGCAAATCCAAGTTTGTCGTGAGCGACGTCATCGTGTACGAGTTCAAGCACGCCAAGTTTGTTCGTGGCAAGTCCGATCAACTCCTCTCGATCAAGCGACGTCGCCGCGTCAAGCGAAGCGCCACCAGATCCGTCAACGACATGAACGACGACGAGCTGCGCTCAGCCATGACCGAGTTGACGCGGTTCGTTCAGTCGTTGAAGCAGGAACTTGCCGAGACCAAGGCGCTTGTTCAGTCCATGACCAAGGGTACCAACGCATTATGAGAGAGGTATCCGTAGAAGTTAGGATCGTATTTATTTCAAACTAGCATCATGTTCGGCCAATGCAAGGATCACTTCGAGCGCCAAAGTACGCTGGTCACGGCTCTTGGACTTGCACACCTATGGTTCCTCCTAGGATGAGCTAGTTCGCCGAAACCGTGTTGGCCACGTGCGTAACTTGTAAGGAAGAGCTGGAAGGACATGGAGACGTCATGCACCGGACAAGGCACATGATGCGCTGTGCACTTTACTTGCCCCAAAACCTTTGACCGAGCTCCACCATCATCATTACCGTTATCGTGAATACACACGATTCATTTAAATAATCTTCCTCCGTTTCGTCGTCATGAATAGATGTATTTTGTTTATTTTGGTGCCCTTGCATAATCTGGACAAGTTTCGATTCAAGATTGTCGAAGCGACGACCTGTCAGTCCTTCTGTGCCAAGCTGCGCATCCAGCTGTGTAAAATAGCTCAAGGTCGACGTAGCCAAGAATTTCACGTTTCGTAGCGGCAGATCTTGACAGTTTGGGCCTCGGTCCTGGACGCCACTGGTTTGGCGGGAAAGGAGGGCCGCTAAAGTGCGTTCGGTTTCACAGCACAAAAAACGCGCTACTTGTTAAGAAAAACATTCCTGCATTGCAGGGAATGAAAAGGCGTTAAAGATAAAACGTTTTCTCCATTGTCAGAATCGCGTTTGGTTGCGCGCGACGTCGTCAAGCGTGCAAGTGAATGGCGAGGTCGGCTAAAGTCGTCGGGAAGGCCATTGCGCGCAACACGAGGTCGAAAGGATCTGGCGGCGATGCGGTATTACCACTTTTAGAGCGGAAGAAGAAGAAAAAGAAGGGATCGCAACTGTTTGTGACCAGTCCGTCAGTACGACCTGCCGCCACAACCACTTCTGTACCCAGTCTCGTTGCTTCTCCGATCCAGCTTCAAACAACGAAGAAGAAGAAGAAACTAGTGTCTGTCGTGCAGGTGAAGCGACCGATTGAGGACGTCGTCATTCCATCCAAAGCAGCCATTTCCAAGCGACCTCGCGCAGATGTGTCAGCAGAACAAACACCAAACCCAACGTCGTTCGACGACGCTGTTCGATTCATGCAAAAACACGTCAAAGCAAGCGACAGTAGCTCGGAGAGCGACAGCGAAAGGAAGCCGCGTTTGGCTGGAAGGCGGACGTTTCCACCGCAAGCACCTGGCTCCGACGAAGACTTGCCGCAACAGCAATCCACAAATCTAGAAACAAAGTCCGCCACAGCCAAACACAACACAGTCACGACACCGGGGGGAATTCCTCCAAACCATTCAATACCCCTCGACAGGAGAATGCCGCCCCGACCTGGCACCCGCGATGCCTCTTCGAACACCGGCCAAGACGTCAAGCATACAGCAAAACTTCCACGTGCGACCTACGCAGACGTGGATGAGTTCAAGCTTGGAAGTGTCGTAGGGACCAGCAAGAAATTGAAGAAGGCCAAGAGGGCCTTGACAACGTCCACGCCGCATCTCCATGTCAACGACACGGCTTTGGAACCACGAAGAGTACACCAAGAGAAGCGCAAGACTAAAGCAGTGCCATTAACCCTCACGTCGTCCAAGCAACTCCCTGAGCACCTCTCTGGTGAATCGGACGGCGCTGACGCGGCTACCAAAACCCGGATGAAACCTGCCCCCGTCAAGGTGAAGGACGGGGAAATCCGATCAAATCAATCGTCGACCTCTTCCCATCATGACTCGCTGAATGCACTCCTGTTGAAGAAAATCCCACTCGGATCGATGGACGATTCTAGCGATTCGGACTCGCAACCAGCAACTCGGACGACTTTCAGTCTACCACAGGATGCAGCATCGGACGATGATGACGACGACGACGTTGTCAAAGCCAAGGTGGCGTCATCCCAAGCTCTGACCAATTCAAAGTCTGGCGTGTCAACTCGAAGCAAGCAAATGAATGCGTCGACGGTAAAAACGGACACAACCCACCAAAGAACCAGCACGAAGCCAGACGCGCGCACTGCACGACACCCTGCCAAGTTAAAAACTTCCGCCGCCTCCACGCAGTCGAATCCATCAGCCGCTCACACAAGAACCGCAGGTAGGGAGGACGACACCAGCGACTCGGAGCAAGAGGCTGTGTTCGAAGTTCACGAAAAGTCCCAATCTGGAGGCCGTGCTTCGTCCGGTAGCAAAGCTACCACGAACTCTGTTGCCTCGAAAGTTTTCCCCAAGACGAATTTGGCCCAAAAACGTGTTCGACAGCTTGAGTCAGAATCCCCGTCAATCGAAAAGAAGTCGTCACTCAAGGCGGCGACGAAGCCGACTGACGTTGCCGAGCTTCCCTCCAAGAAGCGCAAGATGCCGAAAACCACCACGCCGGTCGGAGCGACTATGTTAGAAGACGCGGTCAAAGTGATGCAGAAACAATTGAATCAGTTGAACGAGTCTCCGCCGACCCCTCAAATCGATCCAATGCCGACTTTGTCCAAGGCAGGGAAAATGACCTTCATGAACGGACTCATCGACGCCGCGGCGGTCGATCAGTGGAACCTGGTTGACATGGGCCGTCTCGTGCGTCTCATTTGCCACCAATGGCGCTTCAAACGAAAAAAAACGGTGCGATTCCTCGAGCAGAATTGCCCCGAGTTTGTCTGCGCTGAATTTCTCGACGGCCTGAACGTGCCATTGAAAGTCGATCAAATCGTCAAGCTCCTGCGCCACGGGTCCTCCTCCTTGGCGGTACTGAGTACAAAACTCAGCGCATGCATTGAATCCGACATGGTGCGCCTCACGGATGACACGTTCCTCGCGAGCATTGCGGACATTGTCGACTTTGGTACGACAGACATCCTTTCCACTCTTCACTTGGGAATGCAAAGTTGCTCCTGTCTTGGACCGTGACAGCGTGTGCTCATTGCTTTTTTCTGTGGATAGCCACGATGTCCCAAGACGAGATCGCTGACTTTGTAACGCCGCTGATCGAGAGCGCCAACTACATGGACGACGCGTGCAAACTGCTGCATCGTGTGTGCGAGCACTGGCCCATGGACGCGATGCAAGCGTTTGTCCAGCGCGTCCTCTTGCTCAATCCTGTGTTTGACGACTTGGAAGGCGATCCCGCCGACATGTCCAAGTACTTTCCAAACTGCGCGTTCGACCTGCCGAATCGCATGCTCCGCGACATGGAAGACATGGATGAGAACGGCAACTTGAAGGGCTTTTGCGCAGGCGAAGGTGACGACGACATCGAGTACGAGGAGCGGAGCAGCGCCGACGAACTGGAGGCTCTCGACGATATGATTGACAAGTTCTCTCCGGCAAAGCGGACCCGAAAAGTCGCCACATCGTCGCTGAAGGCAGTAGAGACCGAGCCCGTGACGAGTGAGGACGACGACGACAACGATTCCGACGACGACATTTCAGTGATCGACGACGAAGAGGAAGAAGTGCAGCAGTGGCATCAAGGGCCAAAGTCGTCGGCCTTTCGCCGAAAGCGAAGCAAGTTTATCTTGGACGAAGCGTCCGAAGAGGAGGATTACGAGAGCAGCGACGAAGGCGGAGACGAAACCGAGGAAAACGATGAGTTGGATGGCCAGGAAGAAGGCGACAGGAAGCGCGACGGGAGGTACACAGACGACGACCCAAGTGAACACGACGACTTTCCCATGGAAGGCGATCAAGATGACGACATGGAAGACGAGGAAAGCGTTGATAACGATGCAGCTCAAGAAGTCCATTCCAACGATGCGATGAGCATGGACGATGGCAATGAAGAGGAGCATGATGGCCCGAACGACGACACAGATGCTGAAACGATGGGGAAGCAGAGTCTGAAGGCGATGCAGAAGTCGACGTGGACGATCAAGGCGACGAGGATGCGGCCGGAAACATCGACGAAGAGGACGACGACGACGAGTAGGAGTTTCGTATTCAGCTGTCCTGTTTGATGTCGAGGATGGCAAGAACCGTTGAAAGCAACTCTGTCAGTGTTACGCCTACGTTTTGCTACGATCACCGAGAACATACATGGAAAGGGACCACTAACTCGACAGCGCGAACAGCGCACTCACTCGGGAGCCCAGCGAGAGCCATCTGTGCGGCGCTGCCGTCGACGCCGTCGCGTCCGGTCCAACACAAGGCACACTGACGTGTGGCTTCAGCTCTCGCTCCTTCACGCACAGGACGTTCCGTTGGACGAGGGCATATGGCTGCGGCAATCCACTCCTCCAATCGCTCGATCCTTCGTGAAAGCGAAGGACGCATGCGTTGCGAGGGGCTTGCCGCAGAATGCTCTCAACATCCACGAGGCGAAGATGTTGAACCGATCGCCCATTCAGTCCCACGAGGCGGAACCCTGGGGCGAGATGGCACTTGCGCGCGGCGCGGGTACAGGCGTGGATGCGAATTTGCCCCGAGGCCGCGGCAAAGCGCAGAAAGCACATGGACGCGGCCTCGAATGCGTCTTCAAGTACTCCGACGACTTGATCGAACGGCATTGTGGACACGTCGACGTCGTTGACGCGTAGAAGTAAGTCGCCTTTGGATAGCATGGCGTGAATGCGAAGGTCATCTTTGGACGCGTACTTGACCGCGGTGGCATGCGTCGCTCCCACGGGCAGCAAGTACATGGGCAGTGGGGCGCGCGAGTGCACTTGGACACACGTTTGTCGACTCAAGTCGGGGGGCTCCACCAACGACACCCCCAACCTCTCGTCCTTCCACGGGAACGACAGAACTCGGCACTCTAGTGTCCGCACCCAGCGCCGGCGTCGGACGCTGTCCGTGTCACGTGCGGCCGCGCTGGTGTCCAAGTCGTGGACGAGGTGGTCAAACGACGAAGCGTACGTCCATCCATTTGCATCACAGGAACCCTTCAGGCACGGCCGCCACCGATCCACCCAGTCGTAGCCAGGTGGAGGGGCCAAATGCTTGGGAAACCTCGCGCAGCTTGCGCTGCCATCGCGGCACGAGAACGTTGGAACGGCACGCAAGTACTTTCGGTGCCACTTGTGGTCGTGGCGCCGTTGGTTCTGAAACACTTCGACGACAAACACCTACGTCGATTTAGTCAATACTTTGGCTGCCAAGGCTGGTCCGCCCGCCAGGATGTCCCTCCCCATCGCGAGAGGAGCGAGGCTGGCGTGCACAAAAGACATTCGCTACCTGCTTCTTGAGGAGCGGCAGCGAGTCGAGCCGCTGCGTGAACTTGGTCAAGCGCCGGGCATCGGCATCCATGGCAAAGTATGGTTTTTGATCGACCAGCGTCTACTTCTCTCTACGCGGGAGGTGGGCCAGACGCGACAACACAGATGGAAGAGTCGGCCATGTTGGATTTGGGGTGCATCCACGATGGTGGATGAGGTGCACATGATGGAACGAGGAGAGGCACTGCAAGAGCCCTTTTCAAGGATTAGTTGTTTTCGCAACTAATTATAACCAAGATGGTTGTCGGAGGAGATCGAGCCTCTGTGATCGACACTGTCCTTGCATCCTCTTGGTCCTCTGATGGCAGGTAGACATCTTGCTCAAAGCCGTGGGCAATACCCGTGGGGTTCTATGTGCATCCGCATCCCCCCCGGACGCCCACAACTCACACAGTGATGGACGAGAGGTCACAGCTCTTTGCATCCCCCGGTGTCCCTGCCGGATGCGACTCGACGATCATGAGCACTTGGTGATGGTGGTCGAGTGATCAGGGCTTCAACTAGTGGACGACGCGGCGCAGTGCTTCCCCCATCGTCCAATCGCCCACCACACAAGGTTGCGAGTGTCCGCTCGTCGACTCGGCATGCAGGAAAGCAATCGCGTTCATCCGACGTCATCGAATGCAACGAGTAGAGTACGATGATGCGTTGAAAGCAGAGCACAAACATTTGTATGCACGGCTTCGACGAGCGGCAGGAAGATCGCGACCATGGTGGTCGACCCTTGCGCGCAGAACA